GGAATTTGATCAGAAAACATATGAAGGGTGATTCTGAAACCACAGAAGCATTGAGAAAGTCATAAAGATGTATAATATATGATAGCATTTACCAGCTATAAATAGGAAGATGCACAGAGAAAAATAGAGACCTTGTAAATCCATTGGGTCAGGAGAAATAGAAACTGCTTAATATTTCATTAAAAATGGATTTTTATAAATTGAACTTTGCTATTTTGGGGTCAAAGACAATATGTAAGGATTAAGGTGTTGTTATTCATTACTCTGTTATCGATAATTTGAACTGTTATTGAACCAACACAACAACAAGGTATATTCTCCCTATGAGTGGTACACTTCCAGTGTATTCTGGGCACTATTTGTAGTGAATAAAAATCCACAGCACTTGTCCATAAAAGCACTTAGACTGTAAGGGAAAGCCTGTAACTAAAATGCCCCTATTATAACATACACACTCTTGGGGCATTTGGAAAGCCCTGGTGAAGAAAGCCTTAGAATCTGGGGGGCTGGAAAGGACTTTAGAAATTAACGTTATAATCCCCTCATTTAATAGAGGAGGAAATTGAGACCTAGAGGAGGTCGAGATATTTACGCACACTTAGGAGCTAATTAGCAGTAGCACCTATCTCCTGGTGTTTTTGTGTTGTGGGATTTCCCCTAACTATGCTACACTCATAGGGAGAGGTGTGTGATCCATTTGATTAAGTAAAATAGCGTGCCTTCAGCCAAGGGTCCAGAGAACAGAGAGATGAAAAGAACACAAGGTCAAAAGCAAAGCAGAAAACAGGAAGGAATTAATCTGGGGAACAGGAAGAATAATTTGAAGCCAAGTTGAAAGGGCCATCAGTTGGTTGCAGGTGTGGGAGAAGGCTGAGCCAGGTGGAATGGCAGAATCAAGTTCCGTTTGAACAGTCAGGTACATGCCTGTGTAGCTAATCCTTGAGCAGACTGGTACCACTGCAGTTGAAATCCGGGAGACTCATCCAAAGCCTGTGGCCATGTGCAACCATGAGGACACCAGCCCTCTCCAGGCAGGTACACACAAGTGTGTGCGCCCACATGCCCGTGCACAGACATGGCACTCACTCACACACCAGCATTCTCCAACACCGCCCAACGGATACAGTCATTTCCTTACTGAGGGGGCAAGGAGAATTTCTTGGCATTGCCTGCCAAGGCTGAGAATTGAAGGGGTCAGATAAGATAACATTGGATATTAAAAACACATAAAACGTGCTGTGTTTCTAAACGGTACCAGCATGGTATGTATGCTGTGGATTAGCAGCTGTGGTAAAGTTCAAGTCCTCTCAAAAGTCCATTTATGTATTCAGGTGGCAAATAGTCCCTCTTCCCCATACGAATGAGCTTCTTAGCATCCCATAACCGAGACCACACACACCGTCACCTGTCCCAGAGAGGAGCAGACCAGTGGTGGTCCCTGCTATTCACAGCACCCATCCTAAGTAAGCAAAGTGCTGCATTTATTTCTTCTCTGTCAAAAGAAAACAAAACAAAAAACAAATGGAAAGCCTCAGCCCTGTGCTGAATTCTGGGAGAACTGATTCATTGCTGTCTTTGGATGCAGTTCCACCTTCCCTTTCCTCAAGCAGCAACGCTTCTTAGCAGCCCAGGGAAACCAGCCAATGGGAATGCGGAAGCCAGACCTTTCTTGGACCCTATTCCTCCTCTTCTGGTCATCCTTCTCTGGTGAGGGCTGAGAACCTCTCCCCATAGACCTTCTCTCAGATTCCAGCTCTAACTCTCCTTTCCTGCTGTTGTTATTGTTGGTTGCCATTGATTCTGACTCAACACTGCTCTGTAGGGCTTTTGAGAACTCCAGGTGTGTTCTATGAGACACCTCTGGGTGGGTTTGAACTGGCAACCTTTCAGCTTGTATTTGAGCACTTAACCATTTGTGTCACTGAGGAACCTCATTTCTTGGCTCTACTCACTTCCTAATTACCTAGTCTTCTCACCCTCCTTGTCCTCAATCACAATACAGGAAAACAGAGCCTGAGAGTAAACAGTCCTCACTGTGGTCAGCAAAGCAGTAGAGGAGGAAAACCATAGTCTGTGACCAGAGAAGGAGAGCTTCCAGAAGAGGAGAGGGAGCAGCAAGCTGGTTGGGTTAGATTGAAGTCCCAGATTCATTGGACTTAGTATCAGAAACAAGAGGTTGAAACTGATTATGATGAACCAATGAAAACCTATTTTCTTCTCTCTTCTCCTCTATGTGTCTTGAGCAAGCCACTTCCCCTTATTGAACAGTAAAAGATTACAAAGTCTCTTAGCCTTTATCCCTACCCTCAGTGATTTGTTATTAAATGGCCCTTTTAACCTTAACAAGTGGAAAATGCAAGGGTTCCAGAGTGTCAAATGGTAGAGTTCCTAGTTATAATTCACAGAGAAGAAAGAACTACATTGTTAATTGGCTCTAAGTATCTGAGATGCGCTTTGCTATTGTTGTTATGTGCTGTCGAGTCAGTACCAACTCAGCGTAACTCTATGCATAAGAGAACGAAGCACTGCCCAGTCCTGCGCCAACCTCACAATCGTTACTACGTGTCAGCCCATTGCTGCTGTCACTGCGCCAACCCATCTCATTGGGAGTCTTCCTCTTTTTATCTGACTCTCCATTTTACCAAGCATAATATCCTTCTCCAGTGACTGGTCCCTCCAGATAATATGGCTGAAGTATGAGAGAAGAAGTTTGGCCATCCTGACTAACAATGAGCCTTCTGTTAAACACAGATTTGTTTGTTCTGTTGGCAGTTCATGGTACTTTTAATGCTCTCCTCCAACACCATAACTCAAATGCATCAATTCTTCTACGGTTTTCCTTATTCACTGTCCAACTGCCACATGCACGTGAGGATATTGAAAATAAACCATGGCTTGGGTCAGGCACACCTTAGTCCTCAGACTGACTTGCTATTACCCAATGTCATCTAAATTGGGATTAGAAATGGATGCTAGGAAGATATCACCGGACAGTAACTCTTAGAGACTTCAAGAACTCCATGAGTTATATCCATCCATTAAAACTCTGTAAATATATTTAAAGATATGGTGGTCAGCCTAGAAAACAACACCTAGAAATATGACAAGGGCTTTGGATCCAGAGAGATTTCTCAGAGCCTTAGTATTCTCATCAATAAAATGGGGATAATAATACCTCCCAGTGTGCTGCAGAGATAATTGTGTTGACACAGTGTCTAGCTCAAAAGTATTTCAGTTTACCAGTTTCCCCGTGCCCCTTGACCTGGCACTGCCAGGGCTGCAAACAGTAAGCATGCTCTGGCTATCATGAGCGGAAGCATCAACTTCCACCCAGGAGAAAGCACCAGTTGTTACAGTGTGTGTGTAATGTAGATGTTGTACGTATGACATACATAATTTACAAGTGAGGGTTGTTTGATTGGTTAGTTGTTTTTTCTCCACCCTCATTCAGGGAACCAAGTTGTTGTTGTTTTTAGGTGTTGTTGAGTCAGTTTCAACTCATAGTGACCCCATGTACAACAGAATGAAACACTGTCCAGTCCTGCACTAGTCCTGTACTGCTGTAGCCACTGTGTCAATCCATCTTGCTGAGGTCTTCCTCTTTTTCTCTGACCCTCTGCTTTAGTGAACATGATGTCCTTCTTTAGGGACTGGCCCTTCCTGATAACATATCCAAAGTACATGAAACAGAAGTCCCACCACCTTCCCTTTTAAGGAACATCCTGGCTGTGCTTCTTTCACGACAGATTTGTTTGTTCTTCTGATAGTATGTAGTATTTTCAATATTCTTCGCCAAGACCAAATTTAAATGCATCAGTTCTTCTACGGTCTTTCTCATTCATTGTCCAGCTTTTGCCTGGCTCTGATGGCTTGGGTCAGTCAGGTGCATCTTAGTCCTCAAAGTGACATCTTTGGTCTTTAATGTTTTAAAGAAGTCTTTTGCTGCAGATTTGTCCAATGCAATACGTCGTTTGCTTTCTTGACTGCTGCTTCCCTGAGAGTTGATTGTGAATCCAAGTAAAATGAACTTCTTGACTACTTCAATCTTTTCTTCATTTATCATGATGTTGTTTGTTGGTCCTATTGTGAGAATTTTTGTTTTGTTGTTTTTTACATTGAGGTGTAATCCATACCGACCAAGAGAAACCCATATATACTTACTCCCGTTACTGTTTTTAATGGATATCACACCAAAAAAGCATAAGTTCCATATGGAGGTTATTGATTTGAGCCATCTGGTAAGCAAGGAGTTGTTCCTACCATGTTGGACCAGAAACTACTTTGAAAAGCCTTTTCTCCCATAAGAGATGTAGTGGTCAGATGGGGCTGGGGATGGATTTCATTAAAGGGTGGGAGACTACCGCAATAGGAAGCTAGACCAGGTCTCCAAGGGACCACCTGCACCCCTGACCCTGAAACAAAGCCCAGAGGTAACTGTGAAAGTACTGACTGACACAGGAAGATTGTGTCCCCTTACCCATTCATAGAATGTGGGAGACCTTTTAAGTTACTAGCAAGAACAGCTTTAAAGCACTTTACGATGATAAAATGCAATGCAAATATTCCTATGTGCCTGCAACATGAGCAAGCCGGAGAATCGAGTTCAAATTACTAAGGCCAGCCACCCCTCAAAGATGAACATTTCCACTCTATTTTTAAAGGATATTCTATTTTTTCTCCTCTGTTTGTCTTTTCACTTCTGAAATGTTTTCCTTTTCATGGCTCCTTCCTCTGCATGCTCTCAGCCCAGAGGCAACATTTTCCTTCCCTCCAAAAGTTTTTGTGAAAACCATTTATTGTTTTCAAGTTAGAGCAGCGTGAGAAATTCATTTGTGTCGAAAAAAAATATCTCCAAACAACAAACCCAGTGCTTATTTTTAAACTTGAGGGAAATAAAATTCAGCAGAACTTTCCCACCCCCTTCAGACAGAGACGACTGCTCCAGCGATGAAACTGCGAACAGAGATTTCAGTAAGGTAGTTTTGTGTCTCATGTTACAGGTATTCCAAGCTAACAACGATGCTACTGAGGTGGTTCTGAACAAGCTTCACACACCACTGCTGACAAGATTCGTGAGGATCCGGCCTCAGACCTGGCATTCCGGCATCGCCCTGCGGCTGGAACTCTTCGGCTGCCGGGTCACAGGTGAGGTGGGGCTCTACTGAGGTTGGGAAGTCAGTTGGATCCCAGGCTCTGCTCCTTCTTTCAGCCATCTGCAAGCAGCACAATTGCACCATCCAACTTTTTCAGAAGGATTGGGCATATGTCTGTTTGTATGTATGTGTGTATGATGTATGTTAAGTATCTATTTCAGCTAGCTAACACGAGTTGCTAGATACCATCAAGTCCGTATGTATATCCTGTCTGATTCTACATCATCATCACAATCATTGCTATGTTTTGAGTCCACCATTGCAATCATTACTTCAATCCATCTTGCTGAGGGTCTTCCTCTTTTTCACTGACCCTCTACTTTACCAAGCATGATGTCCTCCTCCAGGGATGGGTCTCTCCTGCTAAAGTATCTAAAGTAAGCGAGACAAAGTTTCTCCATCCTCACTTATGAGGAGTACTCTGACTATACTTTCTAAATGTTTGCTAAGATTTGAACAGATCAATCTTAGCTAACATGTAGTGAGTGCTAGTTATGGATAAATACTGGACAGGTAATGGCAAAGTCAGAGGTCCAAACCCATCAGCTGCTCCTCAGAAACTCTATATAGGGTCACTGAGTTGGAAGCGACTCGATGGCACTTAGCAACAAGAAGTATGTACCATGCTCCATTCAAAGCACATAAGTTGTGTTGTCTTTTATAATCCTTATAAGGGATTTGTGAGGTAGGTATTATTATTCTCCCCACTTTACAGATGAAGAAACTGAGACTTAGAGAACTAAATGGCTCAGACAGTAAGTGGTCAAGCCAGGGATTGAATCTAAGCTGTTTGAATCCAGAATTTCTGCTTTCAAATAGTATTCTTTACTATTTGAAATAGTCAACCAGACACCATTTGTTCATGCGTTCCCCCACACACTCCTTTGCTCCACAGACACTTCCTGAAGTCATCCTATGTGCGAGGCCCCACACTGGGATCATTACAGGAGTGAACAAAGCAGATGGGGTCTTTGTCATCCTGGAAAAGGTGAAGTGGAAGAGACAGGCTAGTGAGTGAGACAGAATGCAAGGCTGAAAATCTTTATGGGAGCAAAGAGTTTGAACTGCCGACCTGTAGTTAGCAGTCCAGTGCTTATCCTACAGTGCCACGGGTAGTGGTGGTTATGTGCCGTGGAGTTGGTTCTGACTTATAGTGACCATGTATAGGTTTTCCGAGGCTGTAAATCTTTATAGGAGCAGAAAGCCTCATCTTTCTCCCACAGAACAGCTGGCAGTTTCAAACTGCTGACCTTAAGGTTCGCTGGCCGATTCGTAACCCCTATGCTACTAGAGCTCCTTGGACTTCTTAAACAAATGCAAGTACTGGGCAATTCTAAACAAGGATACATGTCTGCAGAAAAGAAAAGAGAATTCTGAAAACGATGAGTCAGGAGACCTAATCCACTGTTTATGCAAAGGTTGAGGGTGTTCTTTCTGAGGAGGTCAAACTTAAGCTTGGGGTAGGTAAATTAGTCTGGTGATGAGGAGAAGAGCATTTTAGGTAGTGGCAACAGCATGTGGGGAGGACCAGAGGCAGTAAAGAACTCTAATAACTTATGTGTAAGTAAGAACCCTAACACGGACCTCCAGGATGACTTTGATCTGGTCAGTCAGTTGACCGCCCAGCAAGCAATTCAATGCTCAGCTGAGCTCTGCTGTCCACACTGTCCCTGGGAAAGTCGGTGGGATTCGTGTCACCACAGAGATATGCCGGTCACTCATTCTGACGAGTCTTTGGCATCTGGTTAGGGATGTGTACACAAGTATACTATGGACTCACAGCAGTGGGCTCAAACAGCAATGATTGTGAGGTGGGAGCAGGACCCAGCAATGTTTCGTTCTGTTGTGCATAGGGTCGCTGTGAATCGGTGCCAACTTGATGGCACCTAACAACAACAGTTTATTGCATACGCCAAGCACTGTTGTATGTGCTTTTATGTAGTAACTAATGGAATGCTTGCTAGAATACCATGAGATACCCTGGTTGCAATCCACTTGATTCCAATTGATAACAACTCTATTTAGGTTTTCCAAGTGTGTAAATCTTTATGGGAGCAGAAAGCCTTACCTTGCTCCTGAAGAGCAGCCAGCAGGTTAAAGTTGCCGACCTTGTGGTTAACAATCCAGTGCTTATCCTACCTTATATTGAGACAGATATTGCTATTATCCCCAGTCTAGACCTGGGTAAACTGAGGCACCCAGCAATCACATAATTCACCGAAGGTCATACAGCCAAGGTGGCAGAACTGGGGCATGGACCCACGCAGTGTTACTTCAGAGTCTGTGTTCCTAAGCAGTGTCATGCAACCTTGAAATGCAAAGGGATCCTATTTGAATTAAAGGGCTTGATAATCATGCTCTTTTGCAGCTCTCCACTAATGGGTGGTCCCCAATTAGTAGGGTATCATCCATGACCTCTTGTCTTCTGCCTCTCTGCAGACGCTCCCTGCTCCAACATGCTGGGGATGCTCTCAGGCCTCATTGCTGACTCCCAGATCTCCGCCTCGTCCACCCGCGAGTACCTGTGGAGCCCCAGTTCAGCCCGCCTGGTCAGCAGCCGCTCGGGCTGGTTTCCTCGGATCCCTCAGGCTCAGCCGGGTGAGGAGTGGCTTCAGGTGGACCTGGGAGCCCCTAAGATGGTGAAGGGGGTCATCATCCAAGGGGCCCGTGGAGGAGACAGTATCACTGCTGTGGAAGCCAGGGCGTTCGTGCGCAAGTTCAAAGTCTCCTATAGTCTAAATGGCAAGGACTGGGAATACATCCAGGACCCGAGGATCCTGCAGCCCAAGGTAAGCTATTCCCGGGCAACTCCATGACTTGACCCCAGACAGAGGGACTCAGTGGGGTGGTGAGGGAGTTGGGGTTGCTGATTTTCCATCTAAAAAGCCATCACCAAACCCCTACAATTTAATAATCATAACAAAACAAATACAATTGAAAGATTATTTTATGCCGGGCAGTGGCTTTAACTGCTTCATTTAGAATTTCTTTCAGTCCGCACAAGATCTCTACAAGGCAGATGTTTTTGTCCCCCCCGTCCCCCATTTTAGAGACAATAAAATGGAGGCTTGCTATCTTGCTGAGGGTCACAAGGTTTGGCTATAGTAGAGTCATGATTCAGACGTTGAAACTCTGGTTGCAGATCCAAGCGCCTAGTCACTATTCGATACTGACTTTTTATAAAGTTCTACCTCTTTGTACCCTCTTTGAGATAAAGTTTCTCTGAAATTGGCCAGGCAACCAAAGGGGATGTGGTTTTTGGAGACTCAGCTATAGAAGCTAGGGATTTACTTCCAAAAATAACTATGTTTTTCTGGATGTTGTGGCACGCCTTTGTATTTTCCTACTCTTGACTTCTTAGATCTTTCCCGCTTCTAGTACTGAGGCCAGGGAGAACCAAGAGAAACATGGGTCAGAAGTTCAAACCAGTACTGCTCACCCTTCCTACACCAGAGGGTTGAAGGGTGGCCTCAAAACAGGGTTGGGGAGCTTGAGGCGGGGAGAGGACAGCATGCATCTGTCCCTCTCCTGGCTACTGTCCAAGTTAGCCAGGCTTCTCTAGCCTCATTCCTATGTCACCCCTTGCTTTTCTAAAACAAGTAGGGCCCCCAGAAAAAGGAGGTATCACACATGTGTGTGTTTAGCCACATTGGCTAAAGAAACATTTGTATTCTGAGTCCACAAGCAAGGGCTGGCCTGGGGGTTTTGTAATTCTGATGACCACTCTTTGCTCACAATTCCTGAGGCTTGGAATGGCTCAGGGCTTGATAACCAGAACCCTCTGGACACAGCACAAGTTGGGCCACAGACTTCCCCAGGGATCGCTGACCCTGCCTCCTGACCATTCTAGAGGCCTGGGAAAAGAGACGGTCTTAACCAGGGTCACAGCCTGTGACTGTCCCCTTTTTGAAGTTACGGATTTAGGGTATCCTGAAAACTGGGATGTTCCTCCTGCATTCCTGGGGGCTCCCGGCCATTCACCTACATCAGTGACTCCAAGATGTTTTCTGGATCTGCGTTCCCCCACCCAGCTTCAGCCTAGGTAGCTCCACTGTTGTCAAATTGATGCATCCTGCTCTAGGTGATGATTCTCTTGACAACTCCCTCACTAAGCAAAGGCTTGGGGAACACTCATCAACTATGAGTGTTCCATTAGCATAGAGGCCTAGGAGCCATTCCCTCAGTAGGTTCTGAATTGGTAACTATCAGTGAACTGGACTTTCTAAACCTAGATGTTCCCTATTAGCTGAAACCGTCCCAACAGCCTAAGTGCCCTTCGTTTCCCTCCGGGAAAGTTCAGTCAGAAACTCATTCAGAGCTTACTGTTTCCCTGAGTCCTCAGCTCCAGCCCCAGATAGAGAGGAAGAACCACTGTGATTTGCTTTTTTATTTCCTGTGTTTCTGGGTTTCCATCACCTTCCCTTTGTCTGAAAACGGAGCTCATTTTCAATAACCATCCTTCTGGCTGCATATGAGGGAGAGAACTGAGAAGGAGATGGGGGATATGAGGAGAGGGGCTCCCAGACAAAAAGTACTGATAGACCTGTCTCCTGTGCAGCTGTTTGAAGGGAACATGCACTACGACACCCCCGACATCCGGAGGTTCGACCCCGTTCCGGCACAGTACGTGCGAGTGTATCCTGAGAGGTGGTCACCAGCCGGGATCGGGATGAGGTTGGAGGTGCTTGGCTGTGACTGGACAGGTAAGGTCTGTTTCCTCACAAGACCACACGTTGTTTTGTGACTCTGGCTTCCAGGATGTGCTGGGAGGGGGTCAGACTCCACGAGGGGATGAGGGTTGAGAGAAGAGCCGTCCCTGGTGAAACCCCAAGTAGCCTACTCCATGTTCTGCCTCAGCCATGGGTACTGCAGCCCCTAGACCCAGAACGACTTCTGAAGGGATGTGCTTTGTCTCTGTTAAAGGATCACTGCAGCTCTGCAACCCGAGTCTCTCAAAAACAAATCATAACTGCACACCACCCACCCAAATTCAATTAGACCCTGCCTCTTCAGGCCAGAGGGCTGTGGCTGTTGATTTAGGGAAGGGGGAAAAAACCAACCCTCATGATAATAAAGTAATTGGTTTATGTCTGAATCTGCTCTCCAGATGTCAGTGGCTAAGAGACTTCATTTTCATTTCGAAGCCACATCTGTAAAAGGCATTCATTTGCTCAGGAGGGCTGTGTTGTGGGGAAGTGGACAGAAATAGGACTTGACCCCCGTGTGTGGCAGGAGACTCAGTCACTCCTGGTCCCATGCAAGTTCTACAGGCAGGGGACACCTCTAATTCTCCCTAATGAGACGAGGCCTCTAGGCATGCCCACCCTCCTCCTGACCCAGGCCCTGCCTTCTCTCTTGACAAGCTCACTCACTCACTGCCTGCCAAAAGGAGCTTGGGTCAGCCACCCAGGGTTCGAGGGGCCAAGCCTAGAGCCAGCAGGAGAAGCAGACAGCTGAGCCAGCCTGCCCCTCTCCTCCAGGGCCCCAGGAATCCCCATTTTCCTGTCTGTGCCCTACCTGTCACTAACACTCCCAGCAGGCCATTGTGAAGGCTTAATAAGGACATGTCAGAGAAGTGCTTTTGACTCCTGAGGAGAAAAGTGCAGCCTGTGTAAGCAGCCACATTGAGGGGCGCAGGCTGGGAATTGGGCCCAAATTAGCTTCTTTCACCTTGGGGGTGAAGGCAGCCCCAGTGAAGACATTTTAGTAGGAATATACCACACGCCCCGTGTTACAGGGGTGAGGTCTCATCCCTTTGCCTCCCGCACATGGGTGCTTAAAGCCACCCTCTAGCAGGACCATGAGTTGATGTGCTTCAGTCTCCTCGGAGTCAGGATGTTAGAGCCGAAGGTTCCAGGAGCTTCTAGATCAATGGCTTCCAAGTGTGTTGCTCATGACCCACAACTTAAAATAAATTCATGTCACAACCCAATGTAGCTACATATAACCACACACGCACACATGTGCCTATAAGGTTTGGTGTGGGTACGTGCCTCGTGGTGATCCCATGCACAACAGAATCAGACTGTTGTGATTGTTAGAGCTTCCATTGCCAGGGTCCTTCCTAGTCCATCTTAGTGCGGAATGCCCCTGGAAAACCTGTGTGGCAACATCACAACAACACAGACTGCTGCTGGATGCACTTGAGGTATATTGGCCGGAGTCAAGCCTGGGTCTTACCCCTGGAAGGTTAGGATTCGAACACTGGATCACCATTGCCCCCACCTGAGATATTTGTTGGTAAGTGCCATTGAGTCGGTGCCCACATGTAATGACCCTGTACAGGGTTTCCAAGGAGCGGCTAGTGGGTCTGAACTTGTGGCTAGCAGTCCAGTGCTGATTCTTCAGCACCACGCCAGGACTTCTGAGATATCATGTATTGTTAAAGTGCATGGGCACTTGAGACAGATTGCCAGGTTCGAGTCCAGCCTTGCCCGTCACTGGCAGCATAACCTCAGAAAAGTTACTAAGCACATTGGTAAACAATGGAGCTAACGATAGTTATTTGGCTCTGTAGGATAAACACTGGACTACTAACCACAAGATCGGTGGTTCAAATTCAGCAGCCACTTGTGAGAAGCCCTATAAGGGTTGTTATGAGTCAGAACCAACTCAACGGCTCTTAACAACAACAACACTAGACTCAAGGGGCCCTGGTGGCATAAACTGTTAAGTATTGGACTGCTAACCACAAGGTAGGTTGTTTAAATCCCCCAGCCACTCACTGGGAGAAAGCTAAGGCTGTTTGCTCCTGTGAAGATTGACAGTTTTAGAAACCCAAAGAAGCAGTTTTACTATGTCCTATGAGGTCATGTAATGGTTACGAATCAGGCTGCAAACCACAAGGTCAGCAGTTCGAAACTACCAGCTGTTCCGCGGGAGAAAGATGAGTCTTTCTGCTCCCGTAAAGATTTACAGCCTCGGAAACCCTGTTTAGGGTCGCTATGAGTTGGAATCGACTCCACGGCACATAACAACAACAACAATGGGGTCATTAGAGTCCTGATGTGGTGTTGCGGGCTAATGAGTCAGACTGCAAAGTCGTTTGAACTGCAAGGTCGGTGGTTCAAGCTCACCAGCTGCTCCTTGGAAACCCTGTACAGGGTCGCTATGGGTCGGAATGGATTCAACGGCACTTAACACCAACAATAATGGGGTCACTATGAGTCAGCATTGATTTGATGGTAGTGGTTTTAGTGTTGGGTTTAATGTTAGAATCAGCATCAACTAAAAACAACAAAATGTTAGTTAGGTGTTGTTATAAGGATTAAATAAAATAAAGGCTTTGAAATACTTAAAATGCTACCCAGCACATAGCAAATGTATTATATGTAAATATAATGAAATGAAATGTAATAAAACAGGAAGGTCCCCAAAGCCATGTTCCTTCTAATCAACATACAGTGCGCACTAAAATCATATCATCTGTATTGATTAAATGCTAGCCACGACCCATTCAATTGATTTTGTGACAGATACAGTTTATAAAAATACAGATGTAAGCCAACTCCTCTTTTACAGATAGGAAAACTGAGGCCCACAGAGAGGAAGCTCCTTGCCAACCCAAGTCTTCATCCTTGCCTCCTCTTCTCTGCCCCTCTGCACCAGTCCCCTCCCACGCTGGCCCTCCTTTGTGACCAGTTGGACAATTACTAATGGCCTTTCCCCCTTACTGTCTCCCCGCCTGCTCCCCAATCTGTCCCAATTCCACTGATGGTCAGCAACAGGTTTCTCATTTCAAAACGCTGTTTGGCTGTTCCTGGGAAGATCAGAGCTGAGGCGGTGTGCTCCTCTCTGCCTCTGCCCAGCCTCCTTTCCTTTGAAGTCTCTGACATCTGGTTCCAATTGCTGGGGAACATTGCTGTGTGATGGGCAGTTACCTTGGAGCACCCAGCCAGCGTAAGCACAGCGACACAGAAGCTGTGCCCCTTTCCCCCGCTTTCCTTTATGCACCCTGCTCTCTCATTGCCTCTCCACCAAACCAGCTTACCTGTTTTACTCCCTGACATTTCCAGAAACTTCTCCTAAGTTGTGTGGCTATTTTCACATTCTAGATTTCCATCGGCTTCTGTGACTCATCCGTGGTTCAGTTCTTCATTCCTACCCCAAAAGGCTAGCAGGGAAAATAATGGGCCAGGTGGAGTTGCTGGCGGCTAACTAAGCTGACAGGGCTGCCTCACCTGCTCTTCAGTTTGTTTGTGTTTCGAATGATTACTTCTTGCTTTGCTGCTCTTAGTTTGCTTTACAATTGAGTTTGTGATTCTATGACACAGTGACAAATTTGAACTTACAAATTAGGACGCTTGGAGGTTATTTGCTATTGACTGTGGGCAAGAGGCAGACATGGAAAAGAGAGGTATGAAAGGTTATGTGCGTAGTATTTAACAGCAGAAAGGTGGCAAGTCGACCGTGAACAAGCTATTCAACATATTTAGTATTTCCTCCAGCTCCTGGCTTTAGTAAATGGTATCCTGAACAGTGCCTGACAAAGACATCTAATCACATACAATAGTGCTGGGAGCATGTATAGAAATGGGAAGAACAATGCCAGGGATTACTTAGAGCGCTTCATTGGAGGGTAACTTTGTGTTGAAGACACCACCCCACACAGCCCAGAACTTGAACACCAGTCCCCAGAAGCCCTGACTCAGAACAACAATTCCTCCCCTAAATGGTTGCAGCCTAAATGAATGGTATGTACAAATAAACCAGTGAATCAATGGCTGGATGAGTCACCTAGAATAGAAGTCAGAACACATTACCAGCAGACCAGGCTGGGCCCCACCACATTTTGCAGTTCTAGTGTGGCACTCGTTGTAAGCACTGGACTACTATCTGAAAGGCTGGTGGTTCAAACCTACCAGTCACACCAAGGAAACCCTATACAGGGTCTCTATGAGTCAGAAACAACTCAACATCATTTAACAACAACTTAGTTGAATAAATTACCAACATTTATTAGTCTAGAGATTATAAAGACAGATTTTTGACTTCTGGTAGACTTTTTTTTTTTTTTTTTTGAATTCCAAAGATCTGGTCCCACTAAGCCACCTCTTCTCAGGGCCTTGACTCCTGGAGCAATTTATGGTGACCTGCTTTCAAGCAAGCCTGGCACTGCTTTGCTGGCACTGCTATCTGTCTGCCACGCTTTACTCTCTTCCCAACCCCCAGTCGGCTTCCCTGACTGTTAGCTATTTGGAACCAGTAGCGGTTGACTCTGCCACACCCTGACCTAAGGGCACAACCCCAGATTCCTTTCCTAAAAGGAGTTTGAATCTCTCTCAGTCTAAAGGTCTTTGCATCCAGTTTTGTGTGAACACAAGCAAAACTGCCAGCAATTGTACCTCCCAGCCTGTCTGGCCTTGGTCATGGTACTCTGATGATCTGATTATAGGCGGGCCCAGAGGTCAGAAGGGTTTGTAGGGTGAGCCTTGGTTCAGGAAACTTCTGTCTGACTCAGAGCAGGCTGAAACAGAGCAAGTTTTGTGAGGGCAAAGCCAGTGGGGAAGACACCTTGTAAACTCAAGGGTCTGTGCACAGATGCCACTTCCCACATAACTGAAGCTCACTTCATCAAGCACCAACATTTCACAACCCATTTCTCATAGACAGCTTTCATTTTGTGTGTATATTATCTACCCTTCCACCTTAAACAGAATGCCCAGAGCATAGGGTAGCCTGCAGTGGGGTCAGCATTGCCTATATTCATTATTGTATCTGTGGCTCTTCTCCTGACCTTGACTCTGTTGGGTCCTTAAAAACATGGATTTTTGTCTGAGACCCTATATTAACTGTTTCTGCAGCCCAGAGACAATTCTCATTCAACCCAGACAAAGCTCCTGGCTTCAATGACAGAAAGGTGATGGCAGGGGTTTTGGTGTGTGTCTTCATTTTCCTTTTCTTTTCCTCCCTCTTCTAAAAGTTTGGAGAGGAAACTTTAAGTTTTTAGCTGCCGCAGCACCCACTTCTCTTCTTTCATTTATATACAGATTCAAGGCCCACAGTTGAGACTCTGGGACCCACCATGAAGAGCGAAGAGACCACCACCCCGTATCCCATCGATGAAGAGGCCACAGAGTGTGGGGAGAACTGCAGTTTTGAGGATGGTAAGGATGAGGCAAGAGTCATGTTTCAACTGAAAGGAATGAGTGCTGACCAGTAAAAATGAATGCTGACCTGTGGCTGGGTCAAAGGTTCAGGAGGTCTCTGGGAAGAGGTTAGGAAATGCGGGTGCTCAAGGGGAATTGGGGAAGTGACTGTATGTATGTCAGAGTGGACCCCTGGTGACGTTTTCAGAAATAGATCATTAGATCTTTCTTCTGGTGGACCTGAATCTCCAACTCTTCAGTTTGCAGCCAAGCTCATTAGCCCATTTGCGCCACCCACTCTGTTGTTATTGATTGTTGTCATTGGGTTGGCATCTGCCTCGTGACAGTCCCATGCTGAATGGCCGAATGAAAAGCTGCCCACTCCTGTGCCATCCCCATGGCCGGTTGTAATCCATAAGTCTTTCAGTGGTTGCCTTTCTGAAATAGATCACTAAGCCCTTCTTCCCTCTTCATCTGGAAGCTCTACCAAACTCCAGTCAACATCATAGCAGCAAGCAAGCTCCACTGACAGGCAGGTGGTAGCTCCACTTGAGGTCCATTGGCCAAGAATTGAACCCAAGTCTTCCACATGGAAATAGAGAATTCTACCACTGGAACGTAACCCATATACAAGGGGGCTTCCAAAAGTTTGTGGGGAAATTCCATTATCTTTTCATTCCATTTTTCCATGAAGTTTTTGAAATCCCCTTGTATTTAGATCTGTAACAACCAGTGCCATCCTTCCACTGATCCCACCGAACTCACTGATCATCAGCTGAGATAAGAACATATCCAAAGAGAGCTCCTTTGAGAAGTCATGCTTTAAGCCTTGTTTCACTGTCTTGCTGCCCAGGAGGCCCAGTGTGGTACTGTAGGATAAGCACACAAGGAGAAAGATGAGGCTTTCTGCTCTTGTAAAGATTTATTTACATCCTCGGAAGCCTAATACAGAGCCACTATGAGTTGGAAACAACTCGACTGTACTTAACAACAACCTTGCTTCCCCAGAGGAAGGAAAGCCAATCTTATCCTTCAGATTCACAATCATGATGGTTTTCCATGCTGAACTGCATCTCCAGGCACAGCCAAGTGAAGATCTGGGTGATTTAGTCCATATGGTCCATGATAGTCACAATAATTCAGCAGTTAACCGTTACGTCACTGCATTTTCCTGTGTCTTCCACCACCGCTGGTGTAAGGAAGTGTACCAACTATGATTCTATGGCTAAGGCATCCCATCCCCTAATTGGTAGTGTACGTCAAAGAAGAGCAGAAATGTGAAAAGGCACCTTCGAGTCATGCCTTCACAATGAAGGGACTCCTCGTTTGGGGATCCATCTCTGTACCTGCGAAATCTATCTTGCTTTTGTTTTATCTTCTAAGTATACCCAAATCCAATAAAAACAATAATTGGCAAAGCCCAAAAGTAAATCACATCTTCAATTATACTGCTAAGGTCACCGAGTTTGTGGATATTCCTCATAAACCACAAAGTTTGGAACACCTGGCATTTTTGGCTAGAATGTAAAGCTTGACAGCCTCAATTTACTGTAAATTACTGATTATTAAGAGTTCATTAAAGAAAATGAAGGAAGATTGGCGAAGACATTTGGGAAGAGATGGAGACATATAGATGTAGCACCAACTGGGTCGGTGCATGGTGACACCCATCAGTCCTGTTTGCTCAGACACTTGACAGGGGCAACGCGCTGCACTGACGGAGTGGATGTCTCTAAGATGTGGCTGCAAAGAAGAGCGGGAGGAAAGCCAAAAAGAAATGCTGAAGTTGTGTGACTGAAAAATGCTAATTTAATGCATATGCTTTGGGGAATGTGCTTTTGTGTATTGTGTGGGTGGGTAAAGGGGAGATACTATTGGTCAGGGTTAGTTGAATGCAGAATTCTGACATTTTAATGAACTTGTTTTTGTTTTATGAAGAAAAGAAGGAGACTTGGAGAATCTTCCAAGACATGTTTAAGATAGTTTGAGAGCCAAAAATGGAATGCACAGGGAGTTAATGTATGGTATTGGATTAACAGAGTTAGCTTGTTGGGGGTAGGAATATGGACTTCTATCTAAACGACAATCCAAAGGCAAATATAAGAGTCCTGCTGCAAAATTTCAGAAGTTTATTTTTAATATAATTGTCCCGTTTAAAGTGGTTTCTTTCCTTTGAGGTTTCTTTGGCAGTTCCTCCCTTCTCTTTTTGCAAAAGATCTTTCTGTGGAATTTGGATCCTGAGATACAGCATGCATGTAAACATTGGGAAGGAATTATGGTGTATTGAATTACTCCATATTTTTTAGCAGAAAAAAATAGAAATTCAGAAATTACAGGGAGGAGGGATGGTGAGGGCTAAAGGCTGACTTTTCAAGCCACAGGTGGCTACTTCTATAATCGATTCCATGCGCTTCTTCTCGATGAAAGCTGACTTTGGCCAAGAGTGGGCCAACATGAAATCTTTTCTGTTGGGAAGGGGAGGAACAGACAGGGCGTCCTGCCACCAACATCAACAGTGCTCTTTCCCTCAGGGGTGACCCCTTCTCACCCCCATGGTGAACAATTGTTTCCACCCGTTGGCTGCTCCCTTATAGACTTCCCTATTCCTGCATCCTAGGCCTTCCCCACGGAAATCCCTCTCTGGGAAGCCTGGGAAGGGAAGTGAGAAGGCCAGAGACCCCACTTCCTGCTACCAGCATCAGCCGGCACCTTCCTGCTGTCTCATAACCACTTCAGGCAAGCATCCAGACTTGGGTTCCCATTTTCTCTCTTTCCCAGAATTCACCTCTACCTCCACTTAATCACACATTTGACATCAGCTCAAACTGGATTCTTAGAGCTGGATGGAACCTCAAAGAAACCTTTGGGTTCAGTCTTCTGACTTAGGCAGGTGAAAAATCAGAGCAGACAGACTAAACCACAGTGTCATTGTCAGTTGCTGTTAAGTTGATTGTGACTCACGGTGAGCCAGGTGTGCCATAGTAGAACTGTTCCATGGGGTTTCCAGGGCTTATCTTCCAAGGCACCTCTGAGTGAGTTTGAATCGCCAATGTTTTGGTTAGTAGTCAGCACTTAACCATTTGCACCACTCAGGGTCTTCTCTGGCCATTGTGTGGTCACTCTTTAAAAACTTCTATTGCTCCTGGAAACCTGATCTGCAGACACTCTACGTGATGTGAAATTATTTTCCTTCTGGTCAGAGCTCTAAGCTGGGCAGTCGGCTGGTCTGTCCCCTTCATTTTGCCGAGTTGTCCCCATCTTCTGAAACAAGAGACTTAACACAAAGAGGTATAGGGTAGCACACAAACCTTCCTTGTTCCTGAGGTCACTTTCTCCTCCCTGGCCAGGCACCTCTCAGGCACTGCAGCTTCTCTGGATGCTAATGGGCTGTCCCATTACTTCTGAGAGCAGGTTGGCAGGAGATGAGATAATACATTTTTGGGAGCCAGACATTGACTGAGACACTGGGGAGACATTCTTCACTGGCATTTAGGGAACAGCAGTTTTCACATTTGTCTGCTCTCCAAGGTGGACCAAAGAGGCTGAGTAGAGCTTGAAGCCATTTGGTGGCCTCATTTATAATTGCTTACTATGGGAACCGCTGGCAGATTTGGCTTTCATGCCTGGGAAGGATGAGACCAAAGCCTGACCCGAAAGCTAGTGATCTCCAAAATGAGTTAAATGAATGAGCAAAAGAAACCACTTCTTTCTCTGCTCTCCACTTAGGCCTTGCCAGCCACGTCAGCAGAACCGCTGTGGCTATTCTCTGAACCCACTTCATTTGCCTTCCTTGGGGATATTTTTTTTTTCCCTTTCAGACAAAGAATTGCAGCTCCCTTCAGGATTCAATTGCAACTTTGATTTCCCCGAGGAGACGTGTGGTTGGATATACGACCATGCCAAGTGGCTGCGGAGCACCTGGACCAGTAGCTCCAGCCCAAATGACCAGACGTTTCCAGGTAAGCCAGCTGCCAATTGAGAGATGAAAGAGTTAAAAGCCAGCCTCTTCCACGTTTTTCAGCTCCCGGATCCCCTTACAAGCTTTATAACTTCCCACCGCAGAGCAATCTTCTGCTCTTTGCCCACAAACCACCACAGTCTTTGCTCAAGACGTCACCCCACAGAATAGTTGGTTGGTGGTTTGTAGCCCTCTCCTGTGATTACAGCATAGCTTGAGAGTTGGGAGGGAGACAGGGAGACCACGAAAAAAGAAAGAAAAGAAACAAAGAAGGAGGGTTTGGGAGGTCTTAGGAGATGGGACAAGTCAATGTCCCCTTGCTCCCATAGCCAACCTTTGCTGCCACCATCTCAGAGTGTCTCATCAACTCGAAACTGGGTTGGTTCATACCATGACTCACGGAGAAATCATTAGCCTTCAGTTGAACTGATACTGCTTTGAGGGTATTATCTCTTACATAGAAAACAAAGTCAAAGGACTGAAATGGGTACCAGGCTTCCAGAAAAAAATGTTGCTGCTGGTCTTTGAAATATTAAGCCCACACTTTTGGTTTTTAAAAGCCAGATTTGAGAAGACTTTGTTAGCACTGTTGACAGAAAAGGGTTGCCTTTAACCTTGTAATCAGTAAGTAAGAATGATCTACTATCTGTACCCTCGGAGGAGTGGGGGGAGGCTGCTTTGTAATGTTTGCCTCTTTCCATGGTGTGAATGCTCCTATCCATCTACCATAGGGTCAGGTTAACCTCACAGCAACTCCATGTATGTCAGAGTAGAACTGTGCGCTCCATGGGATTTTCAATGGCTCTTTTTTTTTGAAGTAGTTCTCCAGGACTTTCTACCAAGGTACTTCTGGGTAGATTTGAACTTCCAGCCTTTCAGTTTACAATTAGGCATGATAACCATTTACACCATGGCACTGTAGGATAAGCACTGGACTGTTAAGTGTAAGGTTGGCTGTTCAACCCAGCAGCTACTCCTTGGAACCCTACAGCATCACTATGAGTCAGAACTGACTGGACAGCACTTAACAACAACAACAACAACATCTAAGGACTCCTACCATGGCTGAATTTGAGCTACTAATATGAGGTCATTAGAGGTAGGTTGAGAAGTGCAATCTGTTGAGTCATAGAGTTTTTCTGTATTACAAATACAGTAGATTAACTGCCATTGAGTCAATTCGACTCATAACAACCTAGTATAGGGTTTCTAGGAGCAGCTAGTGGTTTGAACCTCTGACCTTTAGTTACCAGTCCAGTGCTTATCCTGCAGACACTTGTTAAATGCTGTAGAGTTGGTTCAGACTCATAGTGACCTTATATAGGGTTTCTGAGGAGAAGGTGGTGGGTTTGAACAGCCGATCTTGTGGTTGTGGTCCAGTGCTGATCTTACAGCACCACTTAGTAGTCCCTAGTAGACTATACTGAAATAATTAGAAACTGATGAGTTTTAAGTATTTCTTACCTTTAGTTTTAAAACAAAATTTATTTATGTTTAGATAAATTAATTTTTAATAATGACTGTGCTTAGCAACTGGCTTGCTGAATTCTAGAAAATTTAATAGTTGGTTCGTACAAGTTGGTTCCAGCACACCACTGGCTAGCTTTAGACTTTCATCTGTTCCAACCTGAGTCATGTGGTTATTAAGCACTGTTGGTTCCAACTCATAGCCACCCTGTTTAGGGTTTCCAAGAAGTGGCTGGTGGGTTTGAACTGCCCACCTTGTGGTTTGCAGTCCAGTGCTGATCCTACAGACACTAGTTGTTGTTAAGTGCCATCGAGTCGGTACTGACTCATAGCGACCTTATGCACAGCAGAACCAAACACTGCTGCCATTTTGCCAATCCATCTCGCTGGGGGTCTTCCTCTTTTTCTCTGACCCTCCACCTTAACAAACATGATATCTTTCTCCATCGACTGGTCCCTCTTGACAATATGTCCGAAGTATAAGAGATGAAGTTTGGCCATCTTGGCCTCCAAGGAGCACTCTGGCTGCACTTCTTCCAAAACAAATCTATACAGACACTGGTAAACTATATTAAAATAATTAGAAACTGACGAGATTAAAGCATTTGTTCCCTGAGGGAGAAAGATGAGGCTTTCTGCTCCTACGAAAATGTAAAGTCTTGGAAATCTTATACAGGGTCGATATGAGTCAGAACTGACTCAATGGCACTTAACAACAACAACAAACCTTTCATTTTTAAATATGATTTATTTATAAGTTTATATAAATTAATTTTTAATAGTGACTGTGCTTAACAACTGGCTTGCAGAATTCCAGAAAATATAACAATTGGTTCTTGCGAGCTGCTACAAGTCATTTCCAGCACTCCACTGACTGGCCTTAGATATTCCTCTACCTCAGTCCCTGCCACACTGTTGTGGTTAAGTGCCAACTCATAGCAACCCTGTATAGGGTTTCCAATGAGTGGCTGGTAGGTTTAAACCACCGACCTTGCAGTTAGCAGTCCAGTGCTTATCCAACAGAACCACACCAAGACTCCAGTTTGGGTCATAGGTCCCCATAAGCATCTGAAAGGACAGGAGTTAGTTCTGGAAATGAGTAGATCAGAGTTTACTGAGTACAATGGGAAAAGGCTAGAAAATGAAAGGAGGGTGAGAAAGCTCCTCCAGCCTCTGGGAGAGTCCTAAAGGGCTGCGGTGCTACCCCTTACTGTCCCTTGACCCCACCCCAGAGGGTGGCAGTGGGGCCAACAGAGAGAGCACGTCAGGCCAGCCTCGGAAACACTCCCACTCTTGTGTCCCAGTGGGCCACAGCGTCTGCTCTGGAGAAAAACATTTTCATATTTCAAGTGTTTATCTCTTCAACGTTGGAGTGCTCAGAGAGATTAATATCTGAAGATCACCACAGCCTCAGGCAACAGGAGAGAACACTTACCCTAGCCCCAGCCTTAATCACCCTCCCCCCTCTCTGTTCACTGCAATAATGTTTAATTAATATAATGAGCCTCCTGCATGTTGGGAAAAAAAATACTTATTTTTATAACCCAGCCTGGATTTTTTCATTTCATTTCCTCTCCTGTGAGACTTGGTCCAATTAATTGGTTGTCTTTCCCCACCCCCACTTTTTATTCAAATGTAAAGAAGGTTTATGGGTATGTGTGTGTGTATATGTAGTATTTATGTATGTGCTTGTGTGTTTATATGTGTATGTATGTGTTTGTGTCTGTGTTTCTGCCTGGAGCTATTTGTGGGGTTTTGTGTGATTGTGTTTGTAAATGTGTATAATCGTGTGTTTTGTGTGTGTGTGCATGACTGTGTGTCTATGTATGAGTGTGTTTCTGGTTCATATGCATGAGTAGATATATGTCTGCAAGGAGTGTGTGTGGGGACATCTTGGTACAGGCGCTTTGGATAAAGGAATATAGATGTTATTTCTGTATGGGGTGGGGAGATTTATTAGATCTTATTTAGCATCCAGACTCCTAATGTGATGCTACAGGATAAGCACTGGACTACAAACCCACCAACTGCTCCTTGGAAACCCTATCCAGGGTCACAGTGAGTTGGAACCTACTCAATGGAATGTAACAACAATAGCAAGTCAGCATCCATCTTCAGGTTCTTTCTAGTAATTCTAGCCTCTTCCTTTGCTGTAAGAATAGTTGAGACTAACCCTGCCTGAAGCTGCAAGACCACCAATTAGCAAGTGACAGTTCTGAGAGAGCTTAAGTTACTCGCCAGTTGACCCTGGCCTTTTACAGCTGCCCCTTTGCCTCTACCTCCTCCTGGCCCAGTCTTTGCCCTCACCTGAACACCACGTTCATGTCCACTGACCCTTGCTACTGGTTGGGAATTCTAGTCTTTGTCCTCATTCCACTTGATTCATGACACCCTGCGGTTTGAGAGGGCTTCTCAGAGCAGGCTAGAGAAGTGGGCAGAGTTCCAATCTTTGGCTGAATAGATGGGGACAGAAAGAAAATTAGGGCCATACGGAACTGCTAAATCTAATGTTTTCCACCCTTATGATACTGAGAAGGAAAATAATTATTTTCCTCTTCCCTGAGGAGTCCCCAAAGTTTGGGAAAGCGGCACTCCTGACAGGCCGCCAGAAAACAAAATCTTATTACTATTCTCAGAGCCCTTCCCTCTAGCTCCCCAAGATTTTTAAAAGGCGTTTTCTGTATTTCCCATTTTCCTTCTTACAAAACTTGGTATTGGGCTCCAAAGTGGGAGAAGATAGAAAGCCTTTTCTATTCAGGGTGGTCCTTTCTTTTTTTTCTTCTTCAAAAAAATGGGGCCCAGAGGGGAGCAGTTGGGAGAAAGGAAACAGCTGTGCTTGGTTAGGGGCAGGGCAAATGCTAATGGGTCCCGAGTAGCTGGCTCCTTCCTAGTCAAACCTGCAAGCCTGAAAAGCGCCCACACTTGGCTATTTCACAAAAAGGAGACCATTCTCCTCCTTTGAGAGAAGTATGCCATATGTTTCATCCCCTTAGTAGATAGGCAAACAGAAGTAATTAAATTTAAGAAAGGAGAGGTGCCCGGAAAGTGTGCATGAGTAGGGGTGGTGGAAAAGAAAGGAGTCAAAAGAGAAGGAACCATGTGGAAATCGCGTACACAGCCTATTTGATTAGAAGTGTCTGTGGAAACTACTTACATTCCTTAGATATTTTCAGATTTAGTTGTTTTTGCTTTTTTTTTTTTTTTTCCTTTTAAGTAAGCAATTAGTTCTGTCCTTTTGGCTGGTGGTAATGGTTGCTCAAGGCCGACAAGACACCCACTGGTTTTATTTTACTGTTTTTGTTTTTAAAATTAGTCTTTTAAGCCACTCAGGATTTTTTTTTTCTTTTCTTCTTCTTCTTTTTATTTATTATTATTTTTTTTTAGCTCTTTGCTTGTGGCTTAGCTGCCTGCAGTGTGTTCCTACTGTCCCCCGGAGACCTTGGTCCAAATTCAGTGACCCCTGGTGGTTGCAAAGGAGCTCAGCTTTTTAAAGTTGATTTGACCATAAAAGAGTTTGCAGGGAAAATCAAATTC